ATCATACTGTCACCTTTCAGGCTTCATTTTAATTGGTCTCTTAGTATTTAGCTCTGCATTTGTGCATCATGCTTGCTGTCTCTGAGTGATGTATTTTTCATGAATTTCGTAAGTAACAAGGGTAATGCTGGCCCAAAGATTACATGTCTTTGTCCTTTTGGATTAAATCAGAATAGCTGGACTAAACTTTGTGCATTCGGGAAGATTGACCAAGAAAGATTTTGGAGTTTTCATTGCTTGAGTGCAGGCTGAAGCACTAAGGAGGCCTGCTGTGCAGGGATTCTGTGGTCTGAGGATACAAAGGCAGCCTCATTAGAAATCTCTTCTGTCTCCTCTACAGTAATCCACAAATGTATACATTTGACCTCCAGCCTTGATTAATTCAAACTTACATATTGATTCAATTTAAAAATGTTTACCTATAGAATATAGATCCTATAAGGGCAAATTTGTTAATGGCATTATTATTGTCTAAAAATGTCTTCATTTCACTTTCATCCTGAAGAATATTTTCTCTGGATGTAGAATTCTATGTTGGAAGCTATCTTACTTTGGCATATTAAAGATGTCACCTACTAACATCTAGCTTGATTCTTATTGAGAATTTAGCTGTCAGTCTAATGATCTTCTGAATGTCTTTTGTTCTCTGGTTGCTTTTAACATTTTATAATTTTCTTTGACTTTCTGAAATTTCACACTCATGCTGCAGTTTTTGTTTCTCCTGCTCAGGTTTTATGGGCCTTCTTTTTTGTTTGTTTGTTTCAAATTAAAGAGTCATGAATTTATTTTCATGTTCTGTCACTTGCTAGTGATATGACATTCAAAAAAGATACCCTCGAAGCCTCATCTTCATCATATATCAACAGATGTAACGATACATCAAAAATCAAATATGATACTTGTATCAAATATCATGCATGTTATGAGGCTTCTTGAATCTCTGGGCTCATGTTTTCCATCAGTACTGGAAAATTCTCAGTGATAATATGTAGTGAAATACTATATTACAAAAAAAGTAAAACCACACAAAAACAACTGCATGATTCCATTTATATCAGTATTTAAAACAGGCAAAAATATTGCGTGATAACACTATAAAATAAAACAATGGTTAGATTCCATAAAAGAAAGGATAGTGTTTCCCACAAAATAAGAAAGAAGAGAGTGTAGTTAGGAAAGAGCACTTGGTGTGGGGGGGGTTCCTGTGGTTTGTGTAAGAATCAATCTCTTGACCTGGTTTATAGTTACATAGTTTGCTTTAAAAGAATTTAAAATATTAATATATGTTTTATGAATTTTCTGGTGTGTGTACTATATTTCGCCAATATAAAAACCCCACACCTACACACATACACACAAACACACATATGTTGCTCCACAGATTAATATTGCTATATTAGAGACAGAAATGATCTCAGGAGTTTTGCAGGGCTTTGCCCTAAAGGAATGTGTGAACATGTTAGTTCGCATATCAAGAGCTGCCTCACCTCAGGAGGGAATCTCAAAGGTCAGTGGCAGCTGCAATCTCAAAGTTGTTGTTTTCACCTGCTTCCTAGACAAAGCAGGTTTTCATAGAGCCATGGGACAAGAGCTGATAAAAGAGTGCCTGCCCAAGAGAGAGACACCTTCAGCTAAAAGCAATTAGCCCAAGTGACAGTTCCTGCTTGACTCCTGACCACATGTCTCCATCCACAATAACTAGATAAAGAAATATAGAGCCACTATATCTCTGTTTCAGCCTTCTGTTAAGTGATAGCTTTATTTTAGAACTTAAAAGTTTATCTTTGAAAGATTTTGTGACCATTTGCTCATGTAGATAGAATTCATTAAGGGATCTATAGAAGCCTTTTGGGAGACTTTTAACCTAAAATAAACTACGTGTTATTATGTAAACCTATTACCCCTGGCAACCAATCTAGGTACCTATAAATACCTATGTGAAACTTTACTCTGGGCCTCAGAGTTCATGGGAATACTGTGGGGTCTCCTGAGTCACCCCCTTTTCATAAATCTATAAAACTACTTTTGTCTCTGTGTATTCTTTTATTTCTCTATTCTATTATTTTCTACTTTCTATTATTTCTTTATGTTTTGCAATGACCCCTGCCTAAGAGACCCTATTTTTTGCTGGGATTATAGCTAACTCTCTGCACACATAAACACATGACACATACATAGAGAAAAGAACAAGGGGTAAACTGCTTGGGTAACTGGTCAGGAACAGCCTCTCTGAACACAAAAAGATTATTTCTATAGTCTAAAAGGAGATATTTTTAAAGTATGTAACAAACTCAGCAATACAGATAGCTACGTGCCACCTGGGAAGCACTGGCAGTTTGTGAGGAGGTCTCTGAGTGTGGCCTTCATGGAATTTATCATGGAAAGTAGTGGAGGAATCCCTAATTTCTCCTTAGCTTTGGTCACTCTTAGAAAGAGTTCTCAGGGTAAAGCTAGTTTTGTTGATGCAGAACATTGAAATCCAGGACATTTTACTTAATCTGTAAACTATAATAGGAACAATGGATAAATTATTAGCTACTTCTTCATGCTTGAATCCTAGACCTACCTCCCTGGTCTCTTCAATGCCCATTGTATCTTCTCCAATCCTCAGAACAATAGAAAGGAACTATCTAGGGAATTGTGGGCATATTGAGCAATTCTGGGGTTCCCAGAAAATCTTAAGGGATGGCAAGTCTCATGGTAGAAAAGAAAATACATGTAAAGTCTCCCCAGAGACACTTCTTTTATATTTTTTCTTGGGCCTGAGCATATCATCTGAATATTTTCTCTGTCTTTCATGTCCCTCAAGATGGTAGAACCACTGATTTCATCTAGTCTTAGTCCACCAAAGCTGCACTCCTCACTTGCCTTACAGAAATGAGACAGGCTGTTCTGATCTGACCATTCCTTCAAACCCTGACAGAGAAAAAACTGTTCTTTCTTGGCTGGATCACTAATATAAGTCCTATGGTTTGGGGAAACTCCAAGCGTCTGGAGCCATTGGTGCTGCACTGAAACAGTAACTGTGGTTCTTCAACTTATTTACCCACCTCGACAGATGCTGGGTCTGCCCAAGCTGAGATCTCTTTCCTCAAAACTGGGTACTCTCCACCAGACCCACCAGCCTATTCAGAAAGATTATTATGTGAAAACATCTCAATTACCAATGAAACTCAGGATACCATGAATCCCCTGTGAAAAGTAGGTGTATTTCTTTTTAAAAATAATAATAACTGATTGGAAGGTGGATTTCCATTCAAAAAGCATAATTTTTATTGATTTTCATGATAACATTGGAGACACAAAATCAAAATTCTAGCCCATAATCTAAACATCTTCTAATCACAACCAGAGACATAATTAAGTGCCTTATCATGCTCAAAGTTGAGGTATAAGCCAGAGCTTGCTCTTGTGGAATAATTGCATCTCCAGAACTCTGTGTCATGGAGGCGCATTGTGAAAATAGGCTTTACATACTTAAATAGGGTTTGGAGCAATAGGGCAAAAGAGGTCCCTGAATACCTTTCAGTCATGGGTCTGAAATTTATGACATAAGGATAATTTGAGGTGAGGGGGTGCCTTAAGGTGATAAGAAAATATGGATTAGAGGCACAAAGAAAAATGAGACCCTGAGTGACAGAGACCCAATAAGAAAATCAGGTATTAGGGTCACTAAAAGAAAGAGTATGAATTTGGTGAGATTTTAGGAGAAAAGTTAATCAATAAAATAGAGTTCAAATATAAGAAAGGAATACATGTGGGTCAGTAGATCTGGGAGGAGTAAATTTCTGCTATAGGGGAAGTTGTGTAATAATATCATAGAAGTATAATCAGGTAAGGAGACAGTTTCTGACAGGGCAGAGGAAGAGAACCATTCCTCCTTTCTTGTGGGCTGCCATTAGGCAAAGAATTAAATATAGAATTCCTAGAAGGAAATGAGGGGAGCTCTTCAAAGGTAGGAGAAAGAAGTGTAAAGATGAAAGAGGATATGCTAAATTTCAAGACAGTGGGAGGAAGCAAAGGTAGAGTTCTGCCAGTGAATATGCAGAACACAAAAATCAGTGCTGCCCTGTATGTGTGAACACACATGTGCATATGTATGCATGTGAGTGTGTGTATGTGTAATACATGAATATTTTATAGTGTTATTTTAAAGCTTTATAGCAGGTGCCCCAGATAAACACTTAACTAGTGAGTACCTCTCTTCTGCTGTGCATGGGAATGCCAGTTTGCACTTTGGACATATAATAATAACCTACAAAAATTCCCTACCACTTCAGCCATCATCTGGTTTAGACCATTACCCCACTTTGCTGTAGACCCACGTTGTGCCCTATTGCAACCTGCCTCCTTTCAATTGCTGTTTCCGTTCCCTGTGTTGCTTTTCCCTATGCATGAGCACGGACCTTTCCCTCAATTGTCCACAATGACAAGAGACAAAGCTGCAATGTTCATTGCAATTTACCTAGCCTGACATCAAGTCAGAAAGAACAGCTTACCTCCCTCCAGGAGAAGCAGTCTTAAACCTCCCTCATCTAACTAAAGTCTAAGTCTCAGCCACCAGGAAACTCCAAGAAAGGGAAGCAGTTCCCTCCTCAGCTTTCATCTTCAACCCCAGGGTCTTCTTGTTTCCAGGATGACTGATGATAAGAAACTTCATTCCCCTCGTAAGAATCCTCTGTCAGTGCCCCTGAGCCTAAACTTCCCACTTCCTGTCTTCTCCATTCCTCAGAGGTTATATATTTTTAAGGTTCTTTTCTCAGCATTTCTTGCATTCCAGTTATTTGTACTTATGCTTTCTCTCAGCTGTAATGCACACCTTGCCCATGCAACCCAGATTTATACTTCTGTTCTTTCACAGTGTGAAATTGGGAAAAGATCATAGAACCTGGGAATCAGAATCCTGAGGGGTAGGATTGGAATAAATCAGGTTGAGGACTTACCTAGCTATTCCCTCTTACCCCAAATTGACAAGAAGAGAAGTTACAGAGTCACTGATTTCTCTAGGAGCAGGGTATGCCTTCCAAGGACTTCCACAGTGTTCCCACCCCTAAACCTTCCCTGGGAGGCCCAAACTTGCAGGTGTATAAATAGGTGCTCTTGAAGCTTCCTGCCCCAGCCTGGCCCTCCCTCCTTCTAAAATGGACAAGTCCCTCCTGCTGGGACTCCCTGTCCTGCTCTGCTGCTTTAGAGGTGAGTCCCCAGGGCTGACAGGTGAGATGTGTCCAGGATCAGCAGTGGCTTAGAGCTCCTGTCACAGAGCCCTCAGGGAGTCTACGGTAACAGAAGCATGATGACCTGCTGTCTGATGCTATGCTTCCACTCACAGTCTGTTGTGAAAGCCCTTCACTTTCCCCTTAGGGGAAGAAATAAGTGGGTTAGAGAGGAAATTGAGAGGATTTTCACAGAGGCTGTGAGATGAGGTTTGGAGAATGAGGTTAGACAATGTATATTTTTTTTCAACAGTACTGTCTGGATCACTTCTACACAGAGATAATGCAGGTGAGTGGAAATGGATGAGTTTCATGAGAGGGGGAAGGTCTGAGGAGAAGAGACAAGTGGGGCAGGGTGGGTGAGTATGAGGGGGAGGGTAAAAGGGCCCAAAAGTAGACCTTGAGTTTCAACACTCAGCAACCTCTCTCATCAGGAGAGGCTGGGCTGGGGGATGCTCTTAGGTTTGACAAAATAACATTGGCAGCAACCAGCAGGCTAGGAGTGAGAGTCACAAAGGGCCAGGCAAGGGGGAAAGAGGAGGCGGGATGCTGACTCTACAGGACCTGCATGGCCAAATGTGAAGGAAAGCAGTGTCACCTGAAAGTGAATTTCAGGTATTTGTCCCCATTGTCAGATTCCAGGCACACATGGGTAGGAATGCCACATAGGGTCAATTAAAAAGAAGGGAATAAGGAAAACACCAGTGTGCATTTATATTTCTCCTTCTGGCCTGTGCTGCACTTGTAGGAACAGGTACAGGAGTCTGAGAATCTCTGAAGAGGTTAAGAGAACTGGAAAGAGAAAGCAGGTGCAGAGATGCCTTGTAGATGACGAGGCTTTGGAGGGACAAACAGAGCCTAGAACAGCCCCAGGTTAAGAATACAGGAAGGACCCTGAAGGGGAGCTTACAAGGACCCTACACATGGCTAAATCTCAGACACAATTATAAAGCAAATTAAAATTTGCTTTATTTCTCTTTGCCAGCACAGTAGGTGAAGTAATTGTTCAGAAAAATGATTATTCTAGTGAGTATGAAGCACCTAATCTGATCATCTCAGTCTTGATGATGTTCTTCCCCTTATCCCTCCACCTTTCTTTCCCCTTCCACTTTTCAGGCTAAAACTCCTGAGACCATAAACTTAAGTCACTCTCTTGGCTTAGCCTGTTTAAATGGAGGCAGATGTTCATGCATAACGGGGCTCTGGCAAAGCCCCCAGGCTCCAAGCAGACCTCAACCCTGAAAGGGGAGATGGGTCCTTTCACGGTAGTGACACATTCTCTCACTTCTATTTCCCTACTCTCTGGGCAAGATCTACAAATTGTTCAGTGCAGGATGTGCCACCTCCAGTTCCCAGGAGAAAAGTGCTCCAGAGGAAGAGGAATATGTGCTGCAACAACAGATGAGGCCTGCACAGTGGGGAGGATTTTCAAAAGTAAGTTGTGGGTTGGGGAAAGGAGGAAGGAGCAGAGGAAGCAGACAGGGACATACCAGCCATGGTAAAAGGGGGGACCCTAATATGCTTTTACTATAGACAATCTCATGCCTAGATGACTGATATCTCTACCCCCATCATATACCATAATGAAAAATAGATAGAGGTTTTCTCTAGAGGGTGAGGGTATGTAACTAAGGAGACAGTATTTTGAGAAGCTTGAAGAAAACAGAGGAGAATGAATTGAGGTGGGAGAAGAGGCATGATCTATGCCCAAAGGATAACAGTGAGTCTTTGGGGTGGCGAGGGAGCTCTTGGTCTTTGTGTCTGCCTGGATTTCCTTATGGATGGTTCTAAACTAGACACAGGCTAAATGGCCCTCGATGGGCAAGACTAGAAGTCATGTTTTCTCTCTTTTCCCACCCTTTGTTCAAAGCAATCTGTTGGCATTTATAATCCTCATTTAAACCAGTGTTTCTGAATAGAAACATCCAACTTTGGCAATCCCTCAGTTGCTGCTCTCATTACCATACTACTCCCAATAATATTTTTAGACTGCTCTATTATTGCTTTTTCTTTTGGGAAGCCCCTAACTTGCAACATCTTCCAGTTCTTCACATTTAAATAACATAGCCTCGAATTACACAAGGTTATTTTTCTATGCTTGTGCGGTCTAGAGAAAAGATTTTTTGCAGAAGCCTCAGGGCCAGGCTTGCTGACCTGCTTTTCCTCCCTTCCACAGAGAATGGAACTCCCTGGCTAACCTTCATGGGCTGCCTAAAGAACTGTGCTAATGTGAAAAACATAAAGTGGAGTGTCTATTTGGTGACCTTCGAGTGCTGCAAGGGCTATGATCTGTGCAATGAAAAGCTTTAGAAGTTGCTGGTTCTTCTGTGGCTCCAATGTCTGGCTGGGGTTGTTGTCTCACACTCTTCACAATAACATCCTAAAAATCCCTGCTTCTTTCTTCCCTTCTGTAGCAAGATATTTTAATATTTTTCATGTTTTTTCTCTCCATAATGCACATTAACACTGGCCTCATGGATGGGGGTGGCAATGTGAAAATAAATAACTTGAGTCTTCCTGGGTTTTGTTCGTGAATGCTGTTCCCAGGGCGAGGAGAAGACTAGGACATAGAACTGACTTTGCACCAGAACCACGGAAAGGGAAGGACTTTCTGCCTTCTGGAATGAGCCTCCCTTTGAGGCTGGGAGTTGGAGAAGGAATCTGTGGGATTCTAGAGATAGTACCTGCTCCAGCTTCCCCAGAAAACCCATAAGGGGCATCAATCCCTGGACAGGAAAAGTTGCAGGATGCATCCAAGGAGATGAGACCACCACCAGCAGCTCCCAAGATGTGTCATGGAGGAAGCTGAGAGCCATAGGGTCTGAGGAAGACATTTGTGTTTGGCCACTGGGCACCTCATCAGCAATTGCTGTGGACAGAAGTTCCATGACCAGATGCCTCTCCCACTCAACCTCCCTGCCACACACACTCCAGCTTTCCAGTATACAATTCTAGTATCCTTGGGAAAATAAGGATGGGTTGGAACAAATCTGCTCACAAGAATTGAGGCCGTTTTCTAATAATCTGGTAGAACGAAGCCTGAAAAGAGTGATCAACTACTATTATAAAAACATAAAGAAAGCTACTTTTCATCTCAAGTCAGGGATAGGCCAATATAAAAAAAAAAAAAAAGAAAGAAAAAAAGAAAGCTACTTTTCTTCCATAGCCAAATTGTGTTTCCTTTTTTGTCTTCCCTCCAAACCCTTCCTTAATTCCTTTAACAAACATATATTCAAAACATGCTATGTCCCAGGCACTGCCAGACTCTAGGATACAGACATTGTGATCCCTATCCCTATCCGTATTAGCTTAGTCTAATGGGAGAGACAGAACTTAGAGGAATGATAGCTCACATTTACATGGCAATCACTATGAGACACTGCTATAAATATTTTATATCTTCTGACTCATGTGTTCTTCACACAAACCTGAGCAGCATACTACTGCCCATTTGAGTCAGTCAGAAAACAGAAACAGCACCAGTTATTTTTTACAAAGACTTTAAAATGAAAAATTGTTAACCAGGTATTGAAGGACAGAAAAGGCCAAAGGGAAATGTTGAGTTAACAGACAAAAATTGCAATAAACAGCTAAAACTCATAGGTCTAAGGGGACACAGGGAAAAGGTTGTGGTAATTAGACCTTAGAAGCTTGGAGAGGGAGCCAAGGGAGCCCCCTTTGGAACTGGGACCTAGGCATCTCAGGAAGGGTCTCCATGAAGATAAAAATGCATTTGTCTAGGGAATGTGTCCTGTTTAGCTGGTGCTAGTATCTCTGTTGGAGCACCATGAAGCTGGCTCCCAAAGTATGGGGTGGGCGGGAAACCACAAAACAGAAATAACTATAGCTCTGAAACCAACTGCACTGCCAACTGTTGAGAGAAACAGCAAAAGATGTGTCCCTTCTTCCTCTTCTGGCCTTCCAATCTCCCTCTAGCACTGTCTTACTGGCGAAGTTTAACAGGGATCTAGCTTGCAAAGCCAGCATCATAGCGGAGTATGGAAGTGTGAGTTTGAAGCTGAGAGATAATCATTTAATAACCAGCTCAGCCACCTCTTTGGCCACTCAGTCTGCACACATCCTTCTACATGTATTTGAATTCCATTTAATAAGAAAGAGAAATTTAGGCTTTTGCCCACTCAGATACATTTATTCTCCATACAAAACAAGACACTTTTTCTCTAAAGAGAGAGTCCCAAAGTCATCTCTATCTCAGAGTGATAGCCTGGATATTCATTTCTGTGTGATGTTAAATCCTCGTCACATCCATTTAATTCCACCTGTCAACTACCACCAAGTCCCATATAAAATAGTAATTATATAGAGGAAAAAAGAAAGAAAATATGCACTATTTCTATAAAGGTCAAAACATGGCAAAACTAATCTGGTGCTAGGTGTCAGGATATTGTTTGCCCTTAAGTCAATGGAAGGAGCCTGAGTGGGACTTTTGGGTACTGGTAATGTTCACTTTATTCCATTTCTTCATCTGGGTGCTCAATTTGTAAAAATTCTTCAAGTTGTAAACTTATGATTTGTGAACTTTTTCTATATGTATTTTAGTACTCAAAAGATTTTTAAAATTCAACAAAACAAAATATGATAAGAAAGGAAGAAGGTGGACATAGCTACCCAGTGTTTATTTTTTTAACTAGTAATGAAGCTAAAAGTGATATTTATAACTTTCTTGTTCTACTACTAATTCTGCATTTTGTTTCTCTCAACTAGAACCTCACAAGTTCAGGATTATCCGCCCAGTGTGATGATGAAAATATTTTTAAAGGGTTCAAATCTTCAATGGCCTTGCTTTTATTATTTCCAGAGTTTTATATTTATTAATAATTTGACTATTGGACAAGAGGGATGAAGTAACACTTTGAAGAGTCTCTGCATTCCAAAATAGTCACCCCTACTTCCTTATGCAACAGCAATCCAATTCTCTGCCAGTAGAGTAACCCCCATGCTTATTGTGGCATGGAGGAAAAAGGAGCCTTAAATGGTCAGCCAGCTCTCAGATCATCTGATACACTGTTATGTTCCCTGGTGGAACCATTTCCCCCTTGGTAACTAAGACCTCCAAATGAGCAAAAATCTAAGTTGCTGGGATGGGAGAATTTATTACCATTTTACATCTTGATTCTGACTATGGGAAAAGCAGAACCATATATTAGTTGCTGATTCAGAGCATATGCTGCATCTAAGATATAATCTAATCTTTCAAAGGTTTTGTTCCAAAATTACAGTTTAACTGAGATTTCTTTGGACCATTCCATCAGGCTAGTTGCTTCTGGTGATGGGGTGCATAGTAAGATAAGTGACTTGCATGGGCATGAATACATTACTACACCTCTTTGTAGTAAAATGAGCTCCTTGCTTGGAATTAATGCCTTGTGAAAAATCTTGATGGAGAATAAGGCATTCTGTAAGTCCACAACGAATGGTGCTGGCAGCAGAATTATTATAAACAGGAACATCCCTATCCAAAATATGTGTTTATTCCAGTGAGGATAACTTTTACCCATGATGAAAAGAATTTAAAGCCAGCCAAGCTTTTAGCAATTAGCCATGAATTAATATAGGTCTGTCCAGTTTAAATGGATGGCTATGTGTTCTTACACATTGGAGAAGTTTTATTCATTATTGTCTTTCAGGGACACTTCTTACTGGGATTTAATGCTTCATCAGTCCACTCCCAGTTGTTTCAGAATATCCATTTGTAAAGGCCAGTTTTCCCCTTCTCAAATCAATTAATTTAACAGAAAACTAAGAGGCCATTGGTATGTAACAGAAACAAGAATGCAATAGAGCACAGCTACCTGCTCATGCAACTAGCTTGTGCCATCCTGGCCTGCTCAAGACGACCTTTTCTTGACACTTCCCCTTTATAGCAGATTGTTATTGTACTTGCTCAATCTTATGGCTCGATTACCCAGAAAACCTAGTGGGCAACTCAGGTCTCATGATGGGCAACTCAGGTCTCATGACTGATGATCCATAGTTAGAGAAACTGATGACAGAAAGATTAGTTACCAAAGTCATGTAAAAGGAAATTACAAGTGTAAGATTCAAGCTTAGGCTGACAGTCTCAACTCTTTACTCTAAAAGATTATGCTACAAATAACTAGGAAAATATATCTATAATAAATGTAAGAAAAATACAGAGCAATTGAAAAATAAACAGACAACTATGCCAACTAAAGTCGTAGGAAAGATCTTCCTAAGGCAGTTGCACTTAACCTTAGAACTGTGGGCTGACCTGTTGGATCAGGGCAAGGGGGAAATGGTAGGGAGCAGCCGTGTAATAAAATCATCTCTCTTCCAGGTAAAATAAACAAAATATGTAAAATACCTGAGTAAAGAATTTCCCTTCATGACCCTCTCCTTTGAGTGTTGTTTCTTTATTCTCCTGAATTCAGTGATTTTCTTCAGCCCTCTGGAAATCATCATGGCCCTTAAGTTCTCTTTTGTTTTTAGGTAGGTTTAGGATTAGGTTTGGGATTTGGCTTTCTATTTTGGGATGGCAAACTCTCTCCCTACACAGAGACTTACAGAATATGAGACCGGGAGGTGGACTATTTGGTCCCTGTAACATGGAGATGTAGCATGATCTCTGTCTCTCTCTCCCAAAATGAACCCTGGAGAAATTCTGAAGCATGGTTTCTGTAAATCAACAAAACCATGAGAAGTCCTGAGGGAGATGTGGAGTTATCTAAAGCAGTGTGTGTGTGGGGGGGGGGGGGAAGGATATTGTTAGCCATAGCTTTAGTGTATTAGAGAAGATCTGTTTCAATTATGCTTTTGCTTCTCTTCCAAATCTGTGTGGAACTATATTACCTATTCCTTCAACATAGAAATAGACATGGCCCAGACTGTATTTTTGGTGCAAGAGTATAAAGGAATATTATTAGGTAGGAAGTTGTTAGTTAGTCTGCCCATTCCAATGTCCTAGGAGTTGTAGATTACAATTTAGGAAACCTGCTTCATCCCAATGTTTTCATGCTTTAATGGTAAAACTCTGATAAAGAAGTTGCTTGGTGATATGCATGCAAAGAATAGTTACTATTTCATAGTGCCTGGAAACTACCTCCTTACACTCCTCCACTCTGAATTCTCCAAGACTATTGAATTTGGATCTGAAAATACATTATCAAGTAGAGATTTTGATAAACCCAATTAAATAGAAATTCACACAAAGGTAATTATAAACCTGAAAAGTACAACTATGCCTGCAGAAAATCACACTAAACAGCAGGTACCATCTGAACACAAGCTATTAGGACTAGTGGGAATTCAAGAGAAGTATGAAAATATGTTTAGAGATCATTAAAAGTGCAAGTTGAAACAAAAACCATAAGAAAAAACAGGTGGGAATATTTGGTATAAAGATTAATAGATGAAACAAAGAATACAACAGATGAAATATTAGAGTGGATTAAAAAAAGATGTGCAGGCCGGGCGTGGTGGCTCACGCCTGTAATCCTAGCTCTCTGGGAGGCCGAGGCGGGCGGATTGCTCAAGGTCAGGAGTTCAAAACCAGCCTGAGCAAGAGCGAGACCCCGTCTCTACTATAAATAGAAAGAAATTAATTGGCCAACTGATATGTATATAAAAAAAAAATTAGCCGGCATGTGGCGCATGTCTGTAGTCCAGCTACTCGGGAGGCTGAGGCAGGAGGATTGCTTGAGCCCAGGAGTTTGAGGTTGCTGTGAGCTAGGCTGAC